GAGCTTGGTTTAGAAGAAGGAAAAGGTGATTTGAAAACACTCCTTCAAAAGCTAGTTGTCGCTCTTATACAAAAACAGGCAACAAAGAAGAAGAATAATATTGAGGAAAGAAAACTTCTATAGGTTGAAGATTAGTGATAGTAACGAAAAGGAGATAAAGGTAATTTACGCTAAGATGTGTTGAATGAGTAAAAAGAAAATTGAAGACCCACCTAAACTGAACAACAAAGAAGCCTCAATAAATCCATCAAGAATGAATAATGTTAACAAAATAGAAGACGTAGATTATTGCTGTATTGGGATTAGAACTGAAAAAGATAAAAAAGATGTATCTAAGCAATTGATTATCAGAAATCAGCTTAAGAAAACCATATAGATAAGAAGGATAAACCTGATAATGACAATAAGATGATTGTCGATGAAGAGAATAACAAAGGATTGGAAGATAACAACTCTAAGCCAGTTTTTTTAAAAAAAAAAGCTCTAGGTCATGCATGTGAAAAATGAATGCTAAGGGTTAGTGAATTCTAAAAGCTGTTAATTAAGTGAAAGAATCTACCTGAATAAAATCTGCCAAGACCGAAGAAATATTGTATGTTGAAATTGTTGCTGAAAAAAAATCGGAGTCGAGAAGTGAATCAAAACCAAAAGAGACAAAGATAAGGCATTCGGTCAATACCAGAGCTCCAATATAGATTACATTAAGAAAATATAAGATAGTATTTGATCTTGAATGAAGCTTGAACTCTGTTGAAAGTAATAATCTGAATATGCAATTCGACCCTGGGATAGACAAAGAACAAAAGATATTGAAAAAAAAGTGTTAATAGATGTATTTTGCAAGAACCCTGCGTCAATATCTTTGAAAATTGACTCAAATGAATTAGATCAAAAAAGAAAATAAAGATGAAAAACATACCAATAGTTTCTAAAGAATCATGGAGAACGAATCAAGGATGTTAGTGTTAAAAATCAAGAAAGATGTGATGAAAGAAAGGGGAAGAACAAACCTGAATTTGATAGCCCCAAATGGTGTTACAAATATGACAATGGTATAAATAAGGATAAAAACGAGGCCTCCACCCATTGTCAAAATTAGTAAAGATTGCAAGTGCTGATAAAACGTACCTGAATAGCCCTTGTTATCAACATAGAATCAAAAGTGATAAATGTAAGGCATCTAAATCGTCCAAAAAGTGCTGAAGATAAAAAAAAAAGTTTTGTTAAACAATATAGCATCAGACTGTGTTATCAAAATAAAGTCGAATTTAAAGCTGATTAACAACGGCAGGGTAAAAACAATGATGAAGCTGTAAAAGAGGATGACTACATTAATAATAAGAGAATGATTGTCGATGAAAAAAAAGATGAAAATAACAAAGAGAAGAATAATGAACCTGAAAGTCTTCTGGAAAGAGAAACTTTATGCCGTGCATGTGAAGAATAGACAAGAAAAGTTAACGAATTTTGAAAAACTGCCAGTAAAACCGAAGATACATCATATAATGATTGTTAACATAACGAAATTGGGTTAAGGTGGATAAACTCAAAGCATACGATTATTGAAAGTCTGCTGATATCAGTGACACAAAAAGATCAAATCAGAGGAAAAGAAACAGGTGAATATTACTGTATTATCTGAAATATGCTAAATATGGCAATGTGTGTAGCAAATTTGACCCAGTAGATTGTATGATCGGAGCAAAAGAAGTCTTGTAAAAGCCTGTGAAAGTTGGAAAAAGAAGGTTATTAAATTTTTAAAGCGAATTGAGGCCATGCAAGGGTCTGAGAAACTGTATATGGAACAAAGGAGAGGACTCCCTAATGTGATATCATGAAGACCAAGATCCTTGCAATAGAGACAAAGAGAAGACAAGGTTAAGTAAATCAAATAAAAGTCAATGCATGAAAAAGAACTAGATAAAAAGTGTCGACCTATACTTACTGCAATAGAGCAGGACAATAATCTTCGATTTGGTGGCTTTGTATAAAATCTGAAAGAAATTATTGATAAGTCTCATGGAACTCGACTTTAAATGGGGGAGGAATGAGAGTCCTGGAATCTGACCTACCTATTGCGGCCCAAGTATAACCCAAAACCATGGGGTCAAGTGCAATTTATTGCATTTATTAAACCTTAAGATCCTAAATAAATACCGCTCTAATAATCCAAACCTAGATCGATCACTAAGTGGCATAGTAAAAGATAGTTGTCTTGCTCACGTGACCTCGCAAACGATTGTTGTCCGGTTGATTCTCGACACACTGAGAACTGCCGTGGTTGTTTTTTCCAACACTCCCAACGTACAGTGGATAGTTGTGGTTATTGTGTTCCGGTTTGGAAGTCCGAGAGGAAGGACCAAGCTGTGGTTTATTGATTTGATAGTGGATAGAAAACATCCGCTTTAGTGTGTAATATTTAGTTCCTGACATAAGTAAAAAGAAGAAATACCTACGACCATAATTTCCACTCGCCAAATAAAACCGCCTCTTTCGACTAAGCCGATCGTAGGTTGCACGACGTCCCAGATTGTGAAGTGACTGACTCGCTGTTTCCTGGGTTCAGTACTAAGTAAGCCTACTTTCCAATCCTACAAAAGTTGTTTCTCGTATTGAGACAAGTAGGTTTACTTAGTAGCAAACCTAGTTCCGGTCTACTTTATTATGATTACATGGGTGTACTCGAAATAACGCGCAGGTGGGCGCAGGGTCGATGATTTACTGCGATCACAGAAAACAGCAGAATTTTCCTTAAAAACAGCTAACCACAGAAATCACCTTTAGTCATTGCAGAATATCACAAAAATCCAAAAAAGAGTGCAGAATATCAGAATTTTATAAGATCGTAGGATTTGACCATAAATTCAGATTGGTCCCGTAAATGTAGACAAAAGCACATAATTTCACAGAATACATTAAAAAAAATAGCACATGACATCACAGAATTTTTCTTAACCGAAAACAGATTTTGGTCTTAACCAAAGCAGAAAATCATCGGCCCGGGTGGGCATTATTCCGCGGCTATACGGTATGCAAATTATAACTTCATACACATGAGAATATTTCGGAATAAAATCTCTAATCGTTATGAGATAAACACTACGAGACAAAAATTAAATCTGATTGGCTCTATCTTTTAAATCATAGCACATGATCAACATTTTCGTTCACGAGTAGCTTTTACCCACGACAGGACTACATTCCACCGGACATTTAATTTTTATTTCTTCCTAAGTTTCTGATTCGCATGACGCGCGGACGAATAACATAAGAAATATAAGCGTCATCAACCCAAAAAATTTCGCTATTATATCTGATCTCAAATTTTGATTTAACCAGATAACGAAATTGTTTAGAGTGGTGACGCTAGGATAAACTAATATTAGGAGTAGTGATGAAACTAACGATGCTGAGATGATAATTGTCACATTCAATAAATTTATAAGGATCAAATTTTTTTTAATTAATCACGGCGTATGGCAGTTGAATTTTTAGCATCTGCAGTCCCATCACTAAGTAGGAGTATATAAAAATGTTCGTGGCAAAGTCACGGGCCATAAGCTAGTAAATTATAATGCATCAGTAATTATTCGAATTATTCACATATTGGCTAAAATGATTGCTAGAAATATTGTAATTAAAAGATTAGGTAATCGGAATTTTAGTAGAATATGCAGTAAATTAAAATATAACTTTTACATTTGTACCCATTCTTAAAAAAAATTAACGTGATTACTGGAAAAAGATGCACTGGTTAGTATAAAAATTATACATTGATGTATATAAAAATCGTTGACCAAGTTCCTGGTTTTAATGCGACAGCGTCGCACAACTACTTTATAATTTATATGGCGTATCTAAGGACAGAATGATAGCCTTCATTATGTTAACCCTAATTGAAAATTTTTTTATCGGATGATTTCAATTATCGGATGACTTTTATTATCGAATGATTTCTAACATTTTGATCATTGATTGGTTGATTTATTCACAGAACTGAACTTCGATGCGTCGTTTTACTAAATAAGTATTGTCAAGCGAAACAAGGAAACTTTCAGGCATATCGAATGATTTTGCCATCGTATGATTCTTTTAACTGGGATAAATTCTTTGATTTTTTATTAATAAGCTTACTATAGAAAAAGTTAGAAATAAATATATCAACAATAATCTATACTCTTTTTGATGGTTTTATTTAAGGTGCATATGTGTACATGCACATATACAGCTTTAATCATACGTTACATTAACACAACAATGGGCGTATACGTTTTTTTTTAACAAATGACAATGAATCTAGTCTGTAAGAGCAACGCGCAATTTACGTTTTAGGTAATCATAATTTTACTTGTTGCCAAATTTAGAAATTTTGGAAAAATTTTTTACAGCAATTGATATTACTGTATTAATATACATTATTTGGAAGTACAGTATGTGGTACATCTAACTATACAAATTAAGCAATACATACATGAATTTATAATTATTTGCGTAATTTATTAAATGTTCTTTTTATATGATCTAAAAATGTTTATTGAACGAATCACAGCCTTTTTAAACAATATATAAAAAAAAACCTCCACATTTACTATATTAAAATAACTCACTAACAGCTAAACTTCACACCTGACAGTCAACAAATTTTGTGATAGCTTGTTGGTTTTCAACTATACTAAAGGCATCTTTTTGCGTTACTTCACATTCAGAAATAGGACAGATATGTAATCTCAAAAAATTTGACCAATTCTTAAAAATATTATCTTTAATAAATAAATTGTAGTCAATAAGAATAAGAAATCGTCGTTCGATTGCATTAATATCTCTTATTGGTAAACCAGATATCTTTGACCAAGCACTGTTAGCATAGTTGCGATCTTGAAGATATTTAGAGGATATGATAAGAGATGCGAGAAACATTCGACGACCACAGGTAGCCGGATCTCCCTTGTTATTTGTTTTAGTGGATACTGGAAGTGTTGAAATTTTAGGCTTTATTCGTAAAAGATAAAATAATGCAATTTGGAGAGTGTTCCAAGATGTTCGTGATCTACGTAAAGTTTCTTGAATAAATAGACGAAGTGAAATGACTTGTGCATTAATCTTTATGGAAAATTTATTCCAGATCACATCAATAATTAATGCCGTTGTATCTGTGTTAATTAATTTTAATTAATTATTAAAATGCGTCGTAAATCTCATCCATGTGACTTAGTATACTTACCAAGCAGGTTTTCGATTATAGCAATCTTTCGTTGATTCTGTTGATCTGTAGGTTCTTGTTCATGATTGTATTTTTCCACCTGGATTTTCTCTTGATTATCAATGGCTGAGATCACATTACCATTCTGGGTCAATTGGATATTATTAGTCATCATACATGATATGCCATCCTGTATGTTACAAGTGTTGCTAACGCTAAAATTAATGGCTAAAACAGAAAAGAAACATCGTTAGCTGTTGTCTTTAAAATGAAATAAATGTCATTAAAAAATAAAAAAAAAAAACGAAAATCTCTGAAGAATAAAATAGAAGGTCTAAGAATAAAGAAAACTTACACACATGTACGTACGTACCATCTCTCGGTTGATCATTATCGAGCATATAAAATGACATTTTAAGTATGAATGAATGAGTGAATGAAATACGTATGTTCCAAATATTCTCTAAATGTGTTAACAAGAGAATATATATATAGATTCACGATAAAGTTTCTTCGTGTTTGTTTATCACTCTTCTATTTAAATAATAATTATTAACAAAGTTATAGTAAAAGTCCTGGAGCAAAGCTTTATATATATATTTTGTGACTCATAATAACTAACTGTGCCAATTTCTGTATTTATTTTCTCATTGATTAATTTTAACACCTGATCAAATTATTGTGACCTGTTAAGGGGTTTAGATTTGGCGTAAACTTTTTCCTAATACGTCTTTATTTTAGAATAACTAATTGTAGTAAAGAAAAATTGTTCATCTTGTTAAAACAACTATTTTGCTTGCTTGCTTCGCCGGGTAATTAAATTTTAAATTTGATGGAATTACTTATTTCCAATAATTCTATCTTCGAATCACAAAAGTTAAGTATTAACGTTAATACGCAGCAAAAATTTATAAAAACAAAATTCTATTGTAAAATGCCGGAGGTTCCGTTTAATTATGATGATTTCCGGCATAGTTTTAAAACGGCCGAAAATTTTATAATATATACTGTATTAATTTCACAGGAGTTTCTATATTTAGTTTACCGGAAAAAAAAATCAGGTTACAGCATGTCGAAATTTTGTGCCTGGATACAACTTCTGATCCGACCTTAAGATAAACGGATCACCTGTTGATAAACGGGTCACCCGTTGACAAACAGGTCACCCATTGATAAACGGGTCAACAACCAGGGTCGATGATTTCTGCGGGGACCAAAATGCTAATTAGTTCGTGATAAAAGATGATTCAGCAAATATTCTACGATTGGCCAGGATTATGTAAAATCGGCCAGCCACAAATTTTGGCAAAATTAAAGTCAGCCAGCATTATGATGACTTTAAATTCTAAATCCAGGCCAAGATTAAAAAAATAATCTGAATCGCGGAAAATTATTGGCCTTCTCCGTTATTGAATGCTATTCAACCAGATAATGAAATTATTTTACAAATAATAATTTCCGTTATTGGCTGTTTCGAATCCAATATTTAAGACGATGGGTCAAAAAGGCTTTACTTATTTGTGCTGGTAATACAAACTCCTATATTATTGAGAATTAAAAGTTCATTGAATTTAGTTCAGTAGTTATTGAGAAATCATTGCGAACAGTTAAAAAAAATAAAAATAAAAATAAAAAAAATTTAAAAATAAAAAAAAAAAAAAAAAAAAAAAAAAAAAAAAAAAAAAAAATTGAAAGAAAAAAAAAAGTTGTTGTGGAGAAAAAACCATTAAAGTTAAAAAAAAATTAACCGCAGCTTCTTTTTTAAAGGCATG